TAGCCTGGTCCAATGACTAAAAATCTAGCCGTTGGACCTGGTCGAGTTTGGGCCCAGTACGAGCTGCTCGGTCCAACGGTCGGTTTTTTGAACATTGGATCGGGCCAGATCGGGCCTGGGTCTAGGTCATCCAGTCCAATGGATATTTTTTTGCCTGTTGGATCGGGTCCAATCCCCAGGCTGGGTCGGGCGTAGACTCCCAACCTAGTCCAAATCCTGTGACCACGTCTAGGTTCGGGTCCGGGCTAGAACAAGACACGAATAGTTTGACCCGGTAGAAATCTGGCCAGGCTAGGCCAGTTACTGTGCAGGTTTCACCAAACCCACTCGGACCCCGACATCAAGCCAGGTCCGGGTCTAGGTCTGTTTGGACAACCCTACTTTTATCTCATTATCTTTGAACCTTTGGTCAAGTATTCAACACATACAATAAGCTTGATTTTATGCATGATAACTGATAAGTCATCAAAACGAGTGACTCTTTTTGGATTAATTCTCAAATTGAAAAGCAAAAAGTGCACTACTCCGACTTGTTCATGATGAAAATTCATGGTTTACAGTGCAGAGAAGTGCATTATAGCTCATGTATAAACGGAATAAATTTATTGAGATTTAATTAAAACTACAGTTATACAAAGACCAGTAAATACACAATTTAGAGGTTGTTAATTTCATTGCATAAAAAGCACGACCCTTTTAACAACCTTAAAAGTGTCTTTATTACAAAACGAACAGATTTAGTTAATTTGTTAAAAAATAAAAATTATTTCTCCCTTTAAAAGAGGGAGTACTAGAAAAACTTCCATTTTCCAAAAATACCCTTCATCTTTCATGAAATTAACAAATTTACTCTATGATCATAACTCCCAATCTTATTAAATTACATTAATTAAGTGTTTATACTATAATATAGCTATTCTTAAGATTATTAAATAAATAAATCAATTATTATAATAGTATTAGATTATCAAGTGTATGATGTTTTAATATACTATAAGAATTAATATTTATGTAATAATGCAACTCCAATTAGATTATAATAGTACAAAATTATATTACACATTAGATTTTTAATAGTATAAGATTATAATTAAACATTTTTTTAGTGCTTGTTAGCTACATATAACGTTTATATCTCATCTAGAGTGGTTTTAAATAAAAATTGAAATAGTTAATTATGTAACTCTAATTAAATTAATAAATTAATCGTTATATAATCAAATTGTTAACAATAACTTGGTGTTTATGTGCACTTATATAAAGGCATAGATAAAACGTTTTATTCGAACTTTAATAGGTTATAGTGCCAAAGATACACATACCAAGATAGAAAATAGTTCACACTTCTCTAATTCTACCTTAAGTGGTCCCCACAAAACTTAGATATTCTAAGGAGTGAAAATTTGATGTTCTTCTAATGGAAACATTTCATAAAGAAGAAAATCAGCAGTTTGGAAAGCTTCTTTTCGTGCATTAACACTTTTGACAAGTGAGCTCCTCTTGATACATCCAACAAATTATCACAAACCCCTCCAACGTCCATCTGTTTAATTTCACTCCGGGTATAATCTCCTTCCCAGGTCCCCCCTCTCCCACTCTTCACATAACAAATACTAGGTCCAATCAGCCATACTCTCCTTAAAAGCACGAGTTCGGGAAAATCTTTTGGTAGACAAAAAAACCATTAAAATTCAAATTAATTCATTAAGTAAGAGTAAGTTGATAAATTGATGAATTCTTATTGGATATACATAGTATGAAGATAATGATATAGTTTAAATTAAAATGTAAACCTAAATGAATTTATTAAATGCCAAATTTATAAATATATACAAGATGAATGGCGTATATGTAAAAACCGAACAAATTAGTGAGTCAATTAATGTCCGCTGCATAGGTCGAACCCCAAAACAACGCAGACCTACAAATGTACAAAATGTGGACGGAGTATTTGCAAAATCTACCAAACAAATTAAAGAGACAAAATAATTTTAAAATTTATAAAAAAGGAAAATTAAAATAAACTGTTGTGATATGAGGACACAACGTGACGATCTCTCACCAACTAAAATTCAAGTAGTTCACGACACTACATAATTAGTTTCAAAGTTTAATTATACTATTATTATTTAAATAGAACTCCATTGACAATTATTTTTCTCTCACATGCAACATCACATACCAATGTTTATATGCCAAGAAACTGTAATAATTTTCGTAGCACTTTTATCTCCTTCTACATGTATTTGTCTTTGTTATTTTCTTCTTATTAGATTAGATTAGATTATTTTAAAGCAATTAATTATATTGTATATTTGATTTTTTTATATCAAGAAATATCAAAAAAATTTATAGCACTTTCATCTATTTTCTTCTTATTAGATTAGATTAAATTATTTTAAAGCAATTAATTATATTGTATGTTTGATTTTTTCAGATTAGAAATTACAATAATTTTTATAGCACTTTTATCTCCTTCAACATATATGTGATTTTGTTATTTTCTTCTTATTAGATTAGATTAGATTAGATTTTTAAAAATTATGAATTATGAAATTGCAACAATTTTCACATTATTTTCATCTATTTTCTTCGTATTAGATTAGATTAGATTATTTTAAAGCAATTACTTATATTGTATGTTTTATTAGTTCACAAAGTTTAATTATACTATTATATATGCCTTTAAATAGATACCGTTTGTATAAAAATCAAAGAGAATCTCATACATATCTTAAATCTCGATACCAATTGTAATATTTACACATGGGTGTTGGTTAAAATATATTTCATGTATAGCAAAAAGGGGAAAAACACTGATAAAAAGGGGAAAACGCAGATATCTCCTAAACCGTAAGGAATTTGGCGAAATGGAAGAAGCGAACCAAAGCCCTAGGCTTGGTTCGGATGGCTCCATCTCGTCAAGATAGGTGATTTTCATATATAATTCGTCCAATTCCGACTTACGGTTTGAAAGTTATGGCCTATTCTTCGATCCATGCTCAGGAGCTCGCCTGCAGCTCGAATTTCACCTGCACTATCAAGACCCAAGTCTGCCTGCACACCTGAGCTCGCCTGCAGACCCAGCTCGCCTGCAGACCCAAGTCTGCTTGCAGTCACAAGCTCGCCTGTAGACCCAGCTCGCCTGTAGACCTAAGTCTGCCTGCAGTCCCAAGCTCGCCTGCAGACTCAGCTCGCCTGCAAGCTCGCTTGCAGACCTACAGACCCAAGTCTGCCTGCAGTCCCAAGCTCGTCTGCAGACCTAAACTACAGACTCGCCAGCTCACTGTCAACTGCCCACTTGGAGTATGGGAACAGTTACATCAGTGGTCAAATCCCACAAATCAAGGGAGAAAGCATGACGCTCCTCACCTAGCAAGAATAGGACGGCTGACAGGACCCCCTAAGTGGTCGCATCCCACAGCTAGGGCGGCTGATAGGACCCCCTAAGTCGTCACATCCCACAGCTAGGGCGACTGGCCCCCTCACCTCTATTAGTGGTCAAATCCCACGAATCAAGGGATAGCCCATGCCATCCCTTGCCTATTAAAACCCATCTTCAGCCAGCATGAAGAGGGGGGGGATTGGCTGTTGCATATTTTGCTGGCTAATCTCCCAAAGGTTGAACCTGGACCTTTGCCAAAGGCTCCCTCATTTGAGAACTGAAGCTCCGACAGCAACTTCGATCGGATCGTCCAAGGGAAGCAGACTCGGCACGAGCACCGAGCGAGGCATCCTATCGCCACCTAAAGTCCCCACACAAAACAAAGAGGGCCTTCCCTCTGCTTCTGTTGTAAACATTTGATTTATTAGTTTATAATAAGCCTTCTATATATATATATATATATATATATCCACAAGACTACAGATATCTTAAAAATGAACGAAGAAAAACCACAAAAAAAACTATATTAATTACCCACACACACCCACTATTTTCAAAATCACCATTCTCCATCTCCATCTATTATATATCCACATATCAAATTAAGCTGCTGGAGTTTCCCCTCACAAACTACACCATTCTCCATCTTCTTTGTACTTAAATTGTATAACATTCATTGCGATGAGGACCCACATGGGTTCTTTGCCTGCCTTGAGCATCCAACAAAAAAATAATGTACTAAGCATTGTAATTAGTTAATAATGAGATCCTATCATTATAAACAAACTAAATAAAGATTAATAATTTTTAAGAATGTACTATATCATTATAAACAAACTAAATAAAGATTAATAATTTTTAAGAATGTACTATGTTACCCTATCTTCCCTTGCAAACTTGTTAGTTAAAGATTAATAATTTTTAAGAATGTACTATGTTACCCTATCTTCCCTTGCAAACTTGTTAGTTATTTATTGCTGGCCCGAAGATATTTTCAAAAGTAATCATCTATTTCATAAAATATTAAAAAATATTTAAATAAAATTTATGGAAAATGTAACAAGCCATGTTTATAGATTTTAATTCAAAATGAATCTGACTTATTTTATAGTAAGAAAATAAACAAAATAATAATAATTTTGATATTTAACCACGTGCATTGCACGTGCACAAGTTTTGATATTTTTTTGTTAAAAAATAAAAATAAAAATAAAAAAAGAACAATGTGTTGTGTGTACTTCTGGGCTTTTGACTTGGGCTTTTTGTTTTAGGCTGGACTCAAACTGCACAAAGTTTTGATGATGATGCCTTTTTTAATTAGGTCCTGCGGGCTGGGCTTTTGCATTAATGCAAAAAGGAGGGTTTTTCATTGAATGACATATTAGTTAGGGGGTCCGTTTTGAGAAAACTTTAAGCTGAGGAGTTCTATGAGACACCCCAAAGTTCAGTGTTGTTTTTGTCAGATAAAAATTTCAAGGGCATTATGTGCAAAACCCGCAAAATTTAGGGGTTTCTTGCGAAATTAAAGCTTTCTAGTAGCGGGAGTCCATTAAATCCAAGCCCACCAGGCAGGGTCGGGCCTCTTTAGCAATCGTCAGCAGGCCGACAACAATTCTCGCCCCCCAGCGTCCAATTTGTGCGCACGTAAGCCGCTCACGTGCGAACAAAGGTCCTCTCCTTTGTCCAAACCCTCGCCCGCCTCTCGCACTCCCTCGTCGTAGAACCCCTCACTCTCGTTGTCCATTCCCCCTCTCAAATCCCCTTCCTCGCTCTCTTCTTCCCGCTCTCTCACAAAACCCTAACCCTAACCCTGGATCAAACGAACCGATCATGGCGACTTCGAGAGACATCCAAGAGGTCATCGCCAAGCTCTCATCCGACAGAGCCAAACCCCGCGAGGTCAGCTTCTTCTTCTTCGTCTCTTACTTCTCTGTAACTAAAACCCTAACCTTAACCTAACTGATTGATCCGATCATCGTTGTCTCGGCTTGAAATCTCAGGAAGGGATAAAGCTGCTGAATACCTGGCTTGAAGGCGAACGATCGATCGGATTCTGCAGGCTGCTAGCGAAGAACACAGCAAGAATCAAACCGGACGAGATTCCTCACGGTGAGATTTGAATGCTGACGACATCGTTCTAATGAGGTGATAGACTAGGTTAGTTTGATTTAATTAATTAAAAAAATCTTTTGCAGCTGAAACATGGCCTTTTCTTATTACATTGCTGATGAAATGCGTGGAGTTGGAGATATCTGGAAGTAAAAAGCGGCCGCCGAAATTGTTGATTGCGAAGACTCTCAGAACTGCTATTCAGTGCGCGGAGGATCCAAAGTTTGGAGGTCAGCAAGAGATTGCATATGCTTAATGCTCTTAGATTGATTTGATAACAATTATTGAGTAGAGTTAATGCCAACTCTTGCCAAAGAAAATTAGAAGATTTAGGAGTTACTCCATATGCCTAGTGCTCTGAGATTGATTTTGATAACACTAGTTGACTAGAATTCAGACCCAACTCTTGTCAAACAAGAACTTACAGGATTCAGGAGTTAGTCCGTGAGCTCGAAGATAACATTTTTATTTTTTGTTTACTTTGCAAATATCACCTATTTTTTGTGGTTATAATTCCACTTATAGTTTTTGCTTGAGGTGTTTGTGAAGAAGAGCAAAGGCTGGGAATGGAAGATATACCCATAAGCTTTGATTGACTTGCAAATGCAACAAAACATCTAGGCATTGTGTGATTTGGTTTTTTATGTAAACTATGTACAGTTCTTTCAGAACGTTAAACTATTATCTAGAGTTATAATGTGGTTTAACAAATGAGCGCCTCTCCTCTTTCCCACTGTATTTTGGAAGAGGAGAGTTTTTTAGTGTGTGGGTATGTGGGAGACTGCAAATTCTGTCCGATGATCTTCTTTTTCTTTAGTTTTTAGGGTACCTGCTTGAAATATGGAATCTTTATCGCTGTATCTGTTTTTTTTGAGAAGGATTATAATCAATATAAACTAGATCTGTCTGTTGATGACACTGTCTGGAATGGATTACCATCTTTTTTCTAATGAAATGAAGATGAAACAATGAAAAATATTTTAGCTCAACATCTATGAAGTATCCGAATACCCTTTACTAAAATTCATCACTAAGGCTAGAGCCGAAGGTTGTTCATATAATTAAAATAAATTAGATTGATCATTGCCTATATGTACTATTGGGTATATTGTTTCTTTTTTTACTCAGAATATCTTAATGAATGGTATCAAAAAAATTTCATAGGGAAGCTGCTGCTACTCTCTGTTGTTAAACAACTCTTCAATCATATTTGGGATGTTATCAAGGATGTGCCTAACTTCCATTCAGAGTATAGCAGTGTCCTTCGACTTCTTCTTGCTGTTAAAGAGTACCGCTATCAGATGAGGAAGCGAGTTTATTGCTGTCAGTTCTTCTCTAAGCTGTACTTTCATATGCATTTATGTAAAGTACTGAGGAGGCTATCCACCTAGACTAACACCTTTTGTTTTTTTCTTGAGAGAAGGTCTTGTAGTTCTATACATGAAGAAAGTGGTCATGTCCATTAGCATCAAAACAAATACTCAATTTAGCTCCAAAGAGGAGCTTTTTCGACACATCCTTACATTCCATGTTCTTTTGGAGAATCCACCTGGAGATTTTCCCAGTAATATCATGGATGACATTGTCGGAGGCTTCATAGAGATATTTTCAAATATAAGGTATGGAGATTTGCTTGGTTGTGAGACTAAATGATCTATATATCACTTGCACACATATACAAGCTTATGTATTTCTTTATTATTTGGGACATAGAAGAGCTGTGACCATCAATTTCCATGGTTATTGGTTATTGGTGAGATTGCAAAATTCTTTATATCTTTTTCCTTTCAAACTCTGCCAGGGACGAGGGCAAGATTTCACGCAAGCTTATGGACTGCATCAACACTTACTTGATTAAAGATGGCCCAAACCTTGGATGCCAAGCATTTGAAATCCATTCTTCTATACAGGAGTTTATGATGCGTTGCTGGTTGACGACTCATGATCGTGGGTTAAAGGTTGCTAAGTGGATGGCCTCTCTATCTCTTTCCCCGCTTACTTTTTCCTCTTTGGGACAATGTCTTATGTGTTTCATCTTTTGTAGAATTCATTCATCATTTATGCGAGAATACAACTAAAGCTTAACAGAAGCTTGCCAGAAGGAAGTCTACTAATCGAACAGTTTCTCGATGTTGTTGCTAAGGAACTAGACCAAGGCAGTGTTGCTGGAACTTGCACCCTCTGGTTAGCTTTCATATCTTAAGACAATCTTTCTGTATAATGTACAGCAATTTTTATGCAGTTATATCCAGGAATGACACCTCAAGGGATGAGAAGGTTGGATCCTTTGGAAGCACCCAGAAAGGTTTAATGGAGCTTGCAGCTGCAGTTTTTTATCAGGTTTTTTAGTTGTAGACCATTCCTTCGAGTTGTCCTAGTTTTACTTGTTCAACATTAGGTTCAGTATGTTAATGGCAAGTGATCTGTCATCAAATCAGGCTTGCACAAATGGGTCAAAGAAATTATTAAACGAGAAGCGATTGAAGATGGAAGATGCGACTGTACGTCTAAAAGATGCACTTATGAAGGGGTCTTGGTTATGGTGAGATCATTACCATGGCACAACTTTCCTATCTTCGTTGAGTACAATCTACTTTGATTTTATGACTCGAATTACTATAAAATTCTATTAAATCTATTTGGCATTATTTAACTATCTTGGCAATTAAAACAGCAACAAAAGCATGAAGAGACACATTCGGGCAACTTTTACCAAGAGATTATAAAATGTATCACACTATGGAACTAAATTCATATTGGTAACAAAATTTGAATAGTTAAAAAAAAAATCATGGCCAGTTCATCAAGTCATTTAAAGTTGATTGACCACAATTACTTTCAGACAATTTTTTTCAATAGTCAATACATAATGTAGCAAATTCATATTTGAATTGCTGTATTCTTTCTTCTTCCTTTTATGTTCCTATACTTGTGTTCCTAATCCTATAGGACCTATACATCATCCTTTCAAACTATTCACACTATTTTGTACTTGAATGCCCTCTCATCTTCCTATTCCTATATAAAGATGATTATGTTGGACAACAGCAGAATAATTTTGACATGCTGTTACTTATTTTTCCTTCCATCTTGCAGGAATGGTGCTTTCAGTTTTCTTATTCGGAACTATGGCAATTGTATGAACAAGTCTCTGCTAATTGATTGGTTTGAGGTTGCTTGCCAAAGTTTACAGAGGTGATTTTTGATTTATCTGAAAGATTTTAACAAATTTACACAACAAATATCATTACCAACAGGTGACAGGATGCGGCATTATTATGATTTTTCTCGAGTGCTTTGTCTTGGATACAAATTAGGGAAACTTTAGATAATGTTTGTGAATCCTTCGTTTACTTCATAAAAATTTGAGGTACTGTAGTAACTGGATTTGCTTTTAAATGGACACTGCTTATAACCGTGGCTATTTCTGTTGGCATAATTCAGATAATATATCCACAAAATACATATTTCATGTGTAATTTATTGAATAAAGTGTATTTTAAATCATTTAGGAGCTCCTGGATTTATCATACAAGTTTTTCCTTCTCAGTACGTCAATTAAGCCCCTTTTCAATCATACGTATGCTATATGATAGCAAATTATCAGTATTGTGTGAAGCAGTCCCTGTCTTCGTTTTTTAAAATCATTTGTGTCACAGGAGCAGTTAAATTGCTTAATTTTCTGAACAATTTTTCTTTTGAAGCAAATTGTTACAGGAAGGAAACATTTATGCTATAAATGTTAGATTTCCTAATGTTTTAGATACCTTTATTTACTAATATAGATTTTTTAATTGAAAGATCTTGACTCTTTGTTTTTTTCCATTTAAATCAGGATCTTGAACAATTCAGTTACCTCAAATTCATATGAGGCACTTCTGTGGCTTTTGCGGTATGCCACTTGTTTCTCTCAGAGAGTGTTTCTTCATGCTCTGAATTATATAGTAATTACAATATTTTTCTTTTTTTGCTGCTGTTAATGAATGTCAACTCAAATCTTTCACCATCTCCTTGCTTGTCTATATTGTAGCATTCAACTTTGTTGCAGCTTATGAATTACCCCATTTGACCTTTTGGTTGGTTTATTCCACAATAAATGTCTAACAACTTGTACTGCCTTAAAATGAAGGGCCTTGCAGGAACTGTCTCCCATTCTTGTACTTCCAAATTTGAAGGAGTCTTCAAAAGACCAATTGTTGACTTCCGACGAGGTAAGTGCTGACTAATATTAAATAGCTATCCTTTTTGATTTTATAGTCCATGCTAACAAAGTATTTCTATGACAGCTTCTTGGTGCTTCCTCATCTTTTGCTTTATCTGTCCATAGCGTCATATTGTTTGCTAGGCCAGATTTTTGTCCGTACAGGACAAGTAGGTTTTTTCCTATCATTTGTTAGAAAATTTATAATTAAAAAAAATAATGACCTTTCTCGAACGACTTCTAGTTGAACATTTACTTCCCGATCTCGTGATTTATCCATCCATTATTGTGATCTTCTCTTATCTCTTATCTAGACAATTTTTTTGGGCTTAGCATCCCAGATTTTTGTCCTTACAGCACAAGTGTTAGCTAGACAAAATTTTTTGTCCTTACAGCAAGAATAGGTATCTTCTCTTATCTCTTGTCATCTATCTTGAATACAATAGCAAAGCCTATCATCCCGGATTTTTGGGGTGGCTACATGAATTCTACTCTTCTATTCAATTATGTTGGAGGCTATCTCCTCCACTGCACCCTATTTGGATGGGGGTTAATGGATGAGAGGGGAAGTGAGGTGAAAGGGTTCACCTTGTTTTGGAGGTTTCAAAGGGGATCAAGGGGAAGGGAGGTGACAAGATTCACTTCAGTCAACCTTCAATCTATATGATTTGATCCCCTCAAATTGGGGTGTAGTGGAGGTGAGATTTTGGACCTCATGATATTAATCCAATGGTTGAGAAATAATTCCCCTCCATTCCCTGTACTAGACTCCCATACATGATACTATATTTCTTTTCCCCCTTCTTTCACTTCCCCTCCCTTATTTTCCCTTCCCTTTTTTTCCCTTCCCCTTTGTTAGTAAATTCCCAAACGTAATGTTGTTAATTATTATCATATCATTTTAAAGAATTTCTGACCAATATTTTTAGGCTAACCCCTAGTTCTTCTTTCTCCATTGATGATAATTTTATGACTTCCTCTTAATTGGTGCATTTAATTTAATTTCCTCTGTTGCACGTGACCAAACCATCTCAAACAATTCTCTCACATTTTGTCCTCAACAAGAGCAATTTGCAAATTCCTATGAATACATTCATTTCATATCCTATTTCTTAGCATATATAGCATATATAACACATATCCAGCTACCCATTGTAACATTCTTATTTCTGCTACACTCATTTTGTGCATATGTTTTTCAATTGCTCACCTGTAAAACATTGTTGGTCTTACAACTGCCCTCTAGAATCTAGATTTCCCCCCTTCAATTAAGAGGTATTTTGCAATCACATAGGACTCCAGAAACACTTGTCATCTATCACAGTAGGTTTCTTTTCTTATCTTTTGGTATCCGTCTTGAGTATATAACTTTTTTCGAGCTCTGGTAAATATTACATTGCACCTTTTTATGAAGCTTTAGATAAATAGAAAAAACATTTTTTGTAAGTTTCTGAGCAGGGTCAGTGAAATGTAATATGTCCTTCCTCAGACTCCCACATTATTAGCCTGAGACTAGCAGGAATATTCACCTTTATGAAGAAATGTTAGGTATTTTCTTTTGCGAACCATCTAGCTTACATCTAGCTTGAATTTACAACCAGCTACTAAGATAAGTTATAATTATGAATTCGTTTTGAAGATGTTCTATGTTTATTGCATAACCATCAATCCTGAGCCAATCGGTCATAAGAGTGAAATAGCACATCTTAAGGGCCTATAAATTATTGAGTTCTACATGATGAGCATTTGAGTCGTATATAGGGTAGAGTTATTAATGTCTGAAATAAGAGTTTCTATGTTTTTATTAATAAAAGTTGCACCGACTTGTGGAATTAAGCTCCGAAGAAAAATCTAAAAGAATTTAGATTTATGGATTCAAGTAAAATAAATGAATACTAGCAAGTCAATCTCTGGCACCAACATTAATTAAATTTGAATCTTAATTCAGACATTTAAACTCTTATTGTCATTTTGCATAATTGTTTACTGATAATGCAATTCAAATATGAATCTATTTGGTAAAATTCTTCTACGCACCGACTGAAAACAAGAAAAGAAAATGATGCCCGTGCTCCTTAATCAACTGCTTTTTCTCAGGGATTCATCAGTTCGCTATTTGATGTAGGGCTTATCTGTTATTTTAACTAGTTTCAACCCCGTGTGATGCACAGATTTGTATCAAAGTCATGTTGAATTTTTGAACAGTTTGGCATATATAATTACCAACAAATCACTCATAAAACTAAAAATCTATCGCATAAATATTCTGTTTTTAGAGGTGTTTTGTCAGATGGTAACTCTTTCAAGAAGAGGAAGGAAAAGATGGATAGACCTAGCTAAATGGAGGAAACCAAGAGCATTTCACTTCAGTTTGGCCAAAAAAGCCTAAGATAGAAGATAGTTAGGCCAAACAAAAACGAACAAATGAATCAAAATTTGAAGAATCAGAATAATTCATAAATAAATTGTATAAATGAAATGGTTATGTAGCAAATAAAAAAAATCAAAGGGACTGATAAGTAAAGTAACAATCCCATAATATATAAAATGCAAAAGTAAAAGTAAAAGAAAAAGTATAAATTGTCACTTGAGTTCTTTTATTCCTTTAACTGTTAAGAGATTAGAAGAAATATACTATTAAAAACAAGTTAATCAAAGCCCAAAGTGATACTTTACAAATGTTGTAATTTTGCAATTAGTGACAATTTCTTATTAGTATAGTACGTATATATGTAGGATTCTAATTTTAATAAAATGATAAAATATAAAACTCAAAATTTCTATTCTTTTTCCTCGTATATTGTATTATCATCCCTAAATATAAAATAACAAATATGGATTGAGGATTTAATGACTTTTTTCTTTCTTCTGCAATTATCATTCTAGAAAATTTAAGACTGAAACTCACAAATAGAATAACCCCACAAATTTCAAAATCATGAATTTTATGCCCTAAATATTCTTAAAATAACATAACAACCATGAAAAATTAAAAACTACAAAGAGCCCATGATAATTCCAAAAGTAAAAGAAAACCCCCTTTAAGTATGAAATTGCAAAAAGCCACCTAAAAATATAAAACTTGCAAACACCTTTAAGATTAAAAAATTACAAACAACCTGTTGAAAAATAAAAAATTACAAACATCCCCCTTTCAAATTTGAGAATTATAAAGAACACTATGAAAACCCAAAAACTATAAACAAACCCCTGGAAGATATGAGAATTACAAACTACCCTTTAAAACTCTAAAAATTACAAACCCTCGAGGTATCTGTAACTGTAAAAATCTACTTGCAAAATTTGAAAATTGTAGACAAATGCATAGGATTTGAAAATTACATACAACCCACAAAGAATCCAAAAATTTTAGACAGACCCCTGAAAAATATGAAAATTATAAACAACTCCCTAAAATATCTGAAAATTACAAACAAACATATTTGTGATTTTCGAATATAAAGGGGTTGTTTGCAATTTTTTGATTTTTCCAATGGATCTTTTGTAATTTTGAATATGTTAGGGGTTTTTGTTAATTTTAGGATTTTTAAGGGGTGTTCGTAGCATTCGTATCTTTTAGGGGTTCATTTATAATTTTGAAGGTTAAAGGGGTGTTTGCATTTTCAATCTTTTTCAGCAGACTTTTTGCAATATAAGATTTTTTAGAGGATTTTTTGTAATCTTTCAGGAGGTTATTTATAATTCTCACATTTTTTGAAGAGCCTTTTAGTAAACATTTTTAGGGACTGTCAGTGATTCCTTCCTGGTTTTCTAGTGGTTGTTTGTGATTTTCATTCGTTCTTTTGTTTTTTTTTCCTTCTTTTGATGACGTTACAGTTTTCAGCTAGATCTTTTGGATGTGAGAAAATACTATTTTAAAGAAAAACTGCATATAACCCCTCCAAGATATAAATCATTCCCTGACCTTGGAAAACATTCAAGATATAAATCTGCTCGTTTAGTTTACAGGCAAAATATATAAGGAAAAGGTAAAAAGTATTTTGTTGTTGATTCTAACAGATAGAAAAATTAGATTAGGGATTAAATTCTTATCTTTATTTAGTCAGGTTATGCCTACCGGGTTTGATGATGATGATGAGATAGATTTTTCACTTTTGATTTCAATTTTCACAAAAAAAACATCTTTTTTTAGGGAGAAAAATCATTCGATAGAATAACTTTTTTATAAAAAAAGATATGATCTCAATTTAAGTTAGGTATTGAATTTTATCACATTTACTATTCTACATATCTTTTAGAAAATACCACTTCTCTACTCTATTAGAAGTCCAACTTAATATCCATAAAAAAATCACTTCACACAACTTGTCCTTATCCATTAACAGATGTGATATAAATTTTCGTAAATAAGTTATTTTCTCCGAATTTATATTTCAACAGAACATCTGTTTTTTCTCTTTCTTTTTTCTTGTTTGTGGGGATTCTTCGCGATCTTTGATAGACTGTTATTTTCAGTCTTAATTCAGTTTATACTGATTTTTTTTCCTTATTTCTGTTTGCTACATGGTTGCACCCGTGACCGCTGCATTAATAGTATAATATAGATTATTGTATTTGTTTCATCTTGTACAACTTCAAGCACTACCAGTAAAGTTGTTTTTTTTTTCAAATTAATTTTAATATCTATTGTGTGCATGAGGATTAAGATTATATTTTATGTCTGAAGGCTGTACAGATCAGAAATAATTGGAATGTCGTTTCGACTAGTCTGATGCATTCCTTACCTACTTTTAGCAACGCTACTCCTGTTGTAAGTTCTGCTTCCCTTAATTCATCTGATGAATCTAATAAATTGATGACTTTTATTATTGGTTTATTTGATTAAGTTATTAGCCGAGTGTTTTGATTTTATATAGACTTCCTTTTCTCTTTTCTTCTGTTCATCTGGACCTGTATTTTTATTGATATTGTCCATTCATTTTCACCATCTTTTCTTAAGTTGAGATCTTGTAAATTGTTTCGACACAGCTTGATGATTTTATTATTGTTATTATTTCTTATCAGCTTGATGTTTAAGATTCTATTATTGTTATTATTTCTTACTTGAAATGCGAATAATAAATTTGATAATAGGTTAATTTCAGTTTATTCTGCATAATGATTTTGAGTGAAACAGTGCATGCAATGTTAGAAGTAGATGTCTGGGAGGCCATTTTACCCTACTAGAGTTAATACATTGTTCTTGATTGATTTATTAGGTTCGTCGTATGTTGTGCATGCTTAAATACTAAGGATGCATATCATATATATTTGAATTTTTTCAAGCTTTTGACGTGATGAATGAGTTTTGCGTTGTTAATGTTTGTGTAAAGACTAGAAAGGTTGTATTGCTTGAAGACATCTCAAATGTGTCGGCCTCTTTGAGTGAATTACCATGTCGAACATTGGAATCATTTGCTCTAAAAGACCATCTTTGTCCTACTAATGGTTAGGAAGTAGTGCATGATTAATTTTTAGGCTCATTATTCATTGTGAATGCTTAAGTACAAAGTACGGATATTATCAGTTTTTCAACCATTATTGTCTGATATACTGTTCCCAGGTATGTTATGTGCGCTTAAAATCATATTGGTAGGAATTCATTATTGTTGTTCACATTGTTGTGTGGACTGTGATGACTGCTGATGCTCACGTGGGTGGTTTGACCTTAGTCACCGGACTTGAAGTTTGATATTATCATTTTCGACATTCTTGCATGCATTGGCTAGTGAAAATATGTGACAGTCCTTTCGATAAAAATGTTGCACATTGTTGTGTTCACTATCATTTCCTAATGCTTATTTCAGGTGCTTCATGTTCATAACTAGAATTAAGTTCCGCATCATCGCATATCATTTCATAGACCAAAACTTGTTAGAAATTTGCGTAACTTGTATGAGATGCTCCTGGAGATGATCCCTTATATAATTGAAATAATATTTGGCTTCGGGCCTTTTTCAAATGTTAGTACAATTTCTTCAGGGGAAAATCTCGTGTGAGGAGTACAAAGGATGTACTTGAACATGTTTCTTCCTGTGTTTGACGGTGTATTCCCGCATTATTGATCATATATGGTTTCTAGTTTATCTCCTTGATTCAATCTTTTCTTAGATTTACCACTTACAGGCTTGTCCATAGCCGCAAACCTTTCAGCAAGAGAGCGAAAACCTTCGTGCACTTTTGTGGCTAAATGACATTTTGCTTCTCTTTCTGTGTTGGGTAATAGAATGAAGGCCTTTTCAAGTAGCATGTGAGACCTTGTGATCTAAAAAGAAACGTGTGAACATGTATGGTTATATGTGATGTTGGATACAAATAATGCTTAACCAGATTATATGCTGCATAATTAATATTGAAGTTAAACGGAAATGTTTTTTGCTTCAGTATATATGTACATGCGTGCGCACACAGATGCACTCTCACCCATACACGCACACAGGCCCGCACCCTTACACCCCTCCACGCATACATGCACACTCACATGCATATTGCTTGCTAAGGGTTTACTTGCAGTACTGACCAAAAAAGCATTATTGGGAGAGAAAAAAGGAAGTGGTTTTTTCCTTCAGTATATATGTATATACACACATACACATACAGGCGCACATCCTTACACCCCCCACACCTATATGCAGACCCACACGTGGATATTGTGTGCTAATAATTTACTTGCAGCGCTGACATCATCGAGAGAGAACAACAATATTCAGATGGAGTGACCCTATAATTAGTAAACTTCCTCTCAGCCTCTCAACTTGTACAGAGGGAAGCAAAATAGACTGATGCTACTACCAAAAACATTTTTTCCCCAGCAGAGGGAGATTGGGGTTGAGTGCTTAATTTAGAGGGCAGAACCACATTCAGGGAGAATTGAACTGTTTTAGATTGGTTTCTGGTAGATCGCCATCAATAAAGAATAAAAGATTGATGATTGAAGATTATACTTCAGATTTTAACTTCTACTTGAGGATTGCAAAGGTGTCAGACAACTTGGTTTGGTTAAGTATTGCTGTATGCCAGTGTGCAAACTTCGATATTTGGATTGCTTTTACCCAGAACTTGTACTGGTAGCACTAGGCCTTATTCTGAAAATCTTGTGTAGGATGATAAACATCTTTCCTCCATAGCAATAAGTAATATCTGTTTTTATAATCGCTGTGCTATCTATTTCCATAGTTTCATCAGAATGAATGGTTCTTGTAAACCTGTCTGCACAAATATAGATTTTGTAAAGTCTATGATTTTGTTTTATGTGTATACTATATAGTGTTAGTAAATTGTGAATTTCAAAACTTTGCATGTCATATAGTTAGTTTTGGAGCTTTAGGGCACAAATCTACCAGCACATGCAGTACATAGCGGCAGTATGTATGCACACAAGTATGGGTTGTATTTACATTTATATAAACACAAAATAAAATATTCTTGTATGTACATAATAACATGCTTAATGCATAATATGCTTTGATGCTTCTTATTTATAGATAAGGTTTTACATATCGAATGTTGGGAAACTATTGGACGGCCAAAGCGATATCGGATTGCGGATATCGGGGATATGTAGTAAATATCATGGAGCCATATCGGATGATGTCATACAATGTCCTAAGATGTAATCTAAATATAATTAATGAATTCCAAGCATACAAAAATATGAATATCATATGTTTAGGATCACTAGCCAATTGCATAAACTTACCTAGGGAAAAAAGCATGCTAGAACTTGCTAGAAAACTTCATAGGGCTGGAATTTTGAGTAAATAACATTAAAGAAATTTTACCGAAGTATATTGTTTAGTGAATCAGTGATAAGCTATATAACAGGACATATTGGCCTACCTATCGGCTAATATATCGGCCATCTTGGCAACATAGTGCCTAAAATTCGCCAAAAGCGGTAAAGGATATTGAAACCATATCATTCTGTGGCAAACCTTTTTAAAAGGATATATCGGCTAGATTGGAGATATTTAAAACAATGTTTGTAGAAACTTAATGCTCTCTTGTTTATTGTTATGATCTCCATGTTTTATCATAAGTGTTCTGTACAAAACTTTCCAGCTCGAAAAGATCTGTCTGAATTTGTAAGTCGATAACTATAATAGCATAACATGCTTATCAATGTAATATATTATGTATCTGCAGGTTGATGCTGCATTAGTACTTCTTGGCAATATGATAGTACGAGTATGTATCCATCATCTCTTTAATGTGTTGATCATTATTCCCAGTAACAATTAACTGTTGTCGTATGTTAGTAATTTGGTTCAAAGTTGGTAGAATTTATATTTTATTCTTCTTGTTACATATAGGAGCAAGCAGGTGCAGCTGCTGCGCCGCAAGACATGTGGGACCTGATGATTTTTAAACAAAAGCCGTCTCGGTATATCTCTTCTTTCTAATTGGCTAGGACAAGTAGAGAGGGTGTGTTTATATGTTTGTTCTTTTATTTATGCTCTCCTTTCTGCAGTCTCCTTACTGGCTTCAAGCTGTTTGAAACTATTGTTCTAATGTTAAATGTTCTTCCACTGCACCAAAACCCAACCCAGAGTTATGATGAGGGTTGAGGGTAATAATTTTTTATAACATCCTCATGCAGATTGAGCATCTGACATACTTAAAGTGGATTTAGAAAAGAATATGGTTGCACGAGTCGAGGTTTCAGCCCTTGTGCTTGCTCGAGTCATATGAGGGGAGGCATCTTTTATGCCTCCCTTCTATTTTGAGTTTTGTGGAGGATACTCAACCCCCTATTTTATGTGGTAGTTTACATTTAGTGCTCTCTTTCTAGAAACTATATTCTCGAAAAATAAAATATTAGGGTAATATATTAAGTTATTAAGGATTATAACTCTTCAATTCTATCTTGTTTTCCTTTTCTACCCTAATGCCACCCTTCATCAGTAAACACCGACAAACACCATCGACCGACTGTTGACAACATAATATTTTTTCGCCTTATTGAAATTTGCTTCTATTTCTTCTTGGTTATGGTTTGGTTTTTTGGTCAGCGTGCCTTTATCATTTGGAGAAAATCATAATTCTGAAAGTTGAAAGCTCATGTATGTTAGTAGTTACTAGTCAATAATTAGTGCTGTTATTAGTTCCTACTTTATTTAGATAATTCATGTCATGTCGTTATCATAGTTTGTGACTCAGACATTCGGTTTGATTTGATGTTGTGTTTAATTCCAGTTTGCCATTATTCTTAAGTACTATGATTTTTTGGATACTTACCTCCTTGCTTCACTGTGGGTGTCGCCTTTGTTGGTGCCTTTCGCCTTGGTGATATAGGACCTTGTTGCCTTGACCTTGCATTTTGCATTAAAAATGCTGGGTTTAGTATGCATTTCTTCTTGTCAAGTTTGTATCAGATTGCATTTAGCTCGATCGTGTTTGGATGCCTTAATTTGCTTTTACTTCAGTGTGTATTTTCTTTGTTTTGTTTCTCTTGTGAGTCTAAAAGTCAGGATAAAATACTCTATTCTTGCATTCTGTTAATTATTGACTCACTGTTTTCATAGTATGTCTAGTGACCATGCGAGAAGACGTTCAAGATTGCATGAAAACAGGCTGATTTTGATAACTAGTGTTTTTTGCGGTTATAATTGTGTAGCCAAGTTGATGAGAGCAGTGTTTTCCCTATATAAACACGTGGGCCTTAGCTGCCAGACATGTTGATTGTGAAAAACTAGTGTATTTTTGCTGTGATAATTGCATGAAGGCGACTTGATTGGAGCAGTGTCTTCCTGTGACATTTACATGAGCATAAGCTGATGGTGCTGAGTCGATTATTGTTATTTACTCTTTAGTTCAGTTTTAACTGTCAACTGGATGTTACACAGACGTGCACGGATTTTGACCCTTTTTATTGATAGTTTCTTTTGTTGTGCTACCAGTAATGTTTTCATGCAGATGCAAGCATTATGTTTGCACTATTTTAAATATTAGTTGCCATTTTCTTCTTTCTTAACCTAGACTGGATTTTTGCCAACTAAAACTTTATTCACTATCCATTTATCTTCTACTCAAGTATTACTTGCTCCAGGTCTGCTCTGTACTTCATTTCTTGTTATTTCTCAAGGAAAAGTGTCCAGGTGCGTCTATTATTATCTCATGTCATTTTGGCTCTGGCACACTTTTTATCTTTTTATCTTTTTGTCTTTTGTAACTTGTTAGTGGGGATTTGGTTATTTTGAGTGTTTACGATATTAGAATCACTATGTAGAATATATTTTAGCGTTGAAGTGAAATTCGATGGATGTTCTGCGTATATTCCAGGAAAGTACAGCAGGGCTTGACAACAGCCTGTACTATGCCAATGACTTTGTATGCAAACAGAAGCATTCAGGTGTTCCGAATATGAAGATATATGGATTAAAATCCTAAAGAAATTATTAAGTTCTTCTTACGATGACAACTGATAATGGTAAAGGAGAAGTTTAATGTTAAGCGGAGCTGTTGTTATGCTTATTAACTATTAAGCCTTTAGCCTTGCATGGCAATCTTCAGTGAAGATTACTAGGCTTTGCTGCTATGTTACCCGGCCACTTCATCTGGGTTGTCTGTGTGCGTGCTCGACGCTTCTTGGACACTTCTTGAATATACATACGTTTTCAGACATATACTCAATTATATAACACATGCTTTAGTTCAAAATACTTGTGATACACTTGTTGGATGTATATTTTACACTTCACCTTAAATTTATGCAACTCATTGGACTCGGAACATGTTCGTTTTAGCAAATACCTAGTTCGTAAGTATGATTTCAGATGGTCGTTGGGGATCTAGTTAAAAAACAAGCGGTTTTTCAATTTATAATCTACTTGATAAAAGAAACATAAAAAATGGTATAAGGATTTTAGTTCTCATAACATGTGAATGAAAAACCATATCGATCTCATGTAGATTATTAATTTTAATATGCATGTATATAGCTGAGTACCCGTGTTCTAACTTTTATAATTTTGCTATGGCCCATATCCGCACCCGTGTCCGTGTTTGCACCCACACTCGTGTCCGTGTCTGCACCCACACCCGTATCCGTGTAACATAGATTTGCAGGCTTATATACGATTCAATATGTATGAATTGCTTCAGCTATAGCTATGAAATCACCTAGGGTGTCCCAACCATGATTATGAGGAGGGGGTAAGAAACCCTAAACCTGACCATGAACAAAACTGTCATTTATGTCTTCATTATGTCTCCCAAACCCAATATAATACATATGAAAAGCTTAAATACATTATATTTGCCAAGCATATAAAAAGATTAAATGCATAAGAATTAAAATTATAGTTTTGTTTAAGTATTGTGTTTTTGCTTAATGTGTAACATCTAACATTATTGCCTTGTCTTTTACATCTAACATTTCTTGCGTGATGTTTTACATCTAACATTATTGCTTAGCATAGATATTTGCAAGTGTTCCCAAGGACGTTGACATCTTTTCGATTTGATATTCTTTTTGTACTTTGGTTTAATTATTTAATTAGCACATTGATGTGCCCAAATTGTCATAATTGGTTGTTTAAGAATAAGTAAAGAGCATGTTTGGCAACTTTGAATTATAATCCATCCGCAAATGGATTATAAAGAAGTGGATTATAAGCTAAAATGTTTGGTAAATTTAGTGGATCATATCCACTTTTAAAAGTATAGTGGCAAATGAGTGGCTTATAAGCCATCATTATTGTCAAAATGACCAAAAAGCATTTAGTATGGTTGGAGGGAGAAAAACAAGTTTTGGAATTTGGTGAAATGTGAGGTGTATATTGGACTTTTACTTGGTCAAACCTTGTGGCTTGTAGGACAAAATAATAAGATAGGATACCCTAGTTAATTTTTTGTTGGCTTATAAGCCAAAATAAGCCATTTGCCAAAGATATCAGCCACAAAAGTGGCTTATAAGACACTTTGGCCAATTGCCAAACATGCTGTCATATTTAATTCATGTTTCCAGAATTTAGTTTTGTCCGTGAAGGAAATAAGGTCTCAATGGTAATTGTTCGCAAGAAAAAGAAACACCTTTGTGATGAATAATGTTGTAATATGTTGTCCTGGAGTATTTTTGTTTGAGCATACGTTTTATTCTTTTTGTGATGAACAATTGTTTACCATATGATGTGGCATTTAGCAGAAAGGCTTTTGCTTGTTATGTCGTTTGGAAATGTTAAAGATGATTTAACTAATCATGGAGTTATCTGATAAATTTGACTTATTTGAAGAATTACTTATGGAATTAGTTGATTCTAGCTTGATAAAGAATCCTAAATCGTTTTTGATGATGAGCGGAAGGGAGGCTTCGATCTGAACTTCATAAAAAATTTAGCTCACTGGAATTTTCTATGGAAAAACATCAATTTTCAATAAAAAGAGGACTGTTTTTGGATTCTAGGGGCTTTCGTGTTTATTGGATATGATTGTGGGGGGAGGTATTAGGGAAAACATGTATATGTTTTGGGCTGTTGTGAGATGCTGGGCAGAGAGCAAAGGGCTTGTGTTGCTAGTGGAAAGGGACAGAGAGGTTTGGGGGCGTGACCAGTAACCATGGTTTATTGAATTGAGATCAGAGAGGGCTGATTTGTGGATAGAAAATAAAGAAAATAAAGTTACGGATGAGGGATTTAGGTTTCACACCCTAGGGAAATCACATACCTAAATTCGAGAAGCAACTCACATGCTTATTTTCGCAAACTCATATTTTTTATTCATCAATTTCTATCTCTAAAAGAGAATTTATGTGACTTATAGAGAGACCTAATTATAAAAATAAATCTCAATTCTAATAACAAATCACAACTAATGAAATAAACGAATGAACTAATGAAATAGAAAATCAACTAACTAAATATCTAACCAGAATATAAAATAAAAGTCCAACAATATTATTCTAATCTTAACTAAGTTTCTCAACCATAGTAATTCATATCCAATCAGTTGTCTTGCATCAAAACTCCGTGTGTTATTGACCTCGAGTTTTTTTAATGGGAGAGTACAATGACTCCTTTTGCTGGTGAGAAGAATTCTATTACGGACTAGTATTTTCAGATAAGTTGTATAATTCAATGTTGAATAGGTGGCAATGGATTTGGAATGACAAACTCTATTATCAAATTGTTACGAGGACTTCTAACAGCAGTCGTGTACACCGACTACTGATCTACACGTGATGTGGTGATGCCATATGTCCTACTTTTTTTTAAAGGAATAGAATATGAGAATTTTATCTTAATGTCCCTAGTTCTCTAAATTCTTGACCGCTTGTATAAATTAGTTGACCTCTTGTATAATAAATTACCCTAGGTTCAAGCTTTCTCATTCCCTTTAATAATACTTTTCAATATCAAAGCTATTCTATAATTCTACTATCCTGCACTATTTGTACAATAAATTATATACTAAAGATCTGATCTACTTATTTATTCACAAATTATATGAATAAAAACTCCAAACACTTGATCAAAGAAATCAAGATGTAAAATGCAAAAAATAATTGTGACCATCCCTTACTCCAAAATACTCAAATGTTAAGCAACTAATTAAGCAAATATCATATTGTTTTGCTTAGTGCATTTGTCCTGTAGTAACTGAGCAAAGAAAGCTCTACAAACGTGTCAATGACAACAAGGCCGCTAATTTAACATGAAGTTAAAAAAAACCTATTCCATTCAACATGTTTCACATAAGATGGACACGATGCTTACAAGTCCACTAATTCCTCTAGTACAAAATATTACTAATTAATATGAAGCATTGATAATGATTTTTGATGAGAATTTAGTTTCCTTATGGACGATAGCATTTTTCAACATCAAAGCTTCGATTAATCAAACCTACAACACAATGATACTTGTAGAGAATAGAGAAAACCCTAATAGTTTATTGAGAATAACAAGAGAGATATATATAGCCATACAAATAGGGTTAAGGTTAACGGGTAACAGCCCATTAACCCAATACCCAATATTTAACTTAACACTCCCCCTCAAGCTGGAGCATAGATGTCTACCATGCCCAGCTTGTCACATATAGTAGAGAACACCTTTAAAAAAGTAGCCTTGGTAAGAATATCAGCAAGTTGTGAGGACGGAATGAATATGAGAGATACTATCTTCTTTTCCCAAGCATCTCTGACAAAATTACAGTCAACTTCAATATGTTTTGTCCTCTCATAAAACACAGGATTCTGTGCAATATAAATGACAGACTGGTTGTCACAATGCATTGGCATAAGTCCAGGCTGAACAAAACCAAGCTCTGTCATAAACTTTCTTAGCCACACCATCTCACAAGCAGTGTGAGCCATTGCTCTATATTCGACCTCTGCACTAGATCGTGATACATCTTGTTTCTTGTTTCTCCAAGTCACAAGATTACCTCCAATAAAAGTACAAAATTCTAAGGTTGACTTCCGGTCTCCCATGTCTCCTGCGTAGCCAGCATCAGAGAAAGCCGAAATGTTAGTATGCCCATGCTTCTTATATAACAATCCTTTGCCAGGGCAACTCTTGACATATGCCAAAATCTTCAGAGCTGCTGTCCAATGAACCTCTCTAGGTTTGTGCATAAACCTGCTCAATACACCTACTGTAAAAGTAATATCAGGTCTGGCAATGAACCTCTCTAGGTTTGTGCATAAACCTGCTCAATACACCTACTGTAAAAGTAATATCAGGTCTGGTAAATGTCAAATATATTAGTTTCCCAATTAGTCTCTTATATCGTCCAGCATCATCTAGGAGAGGTATCATCACGCCACAAATAAACATTTGCCTCCATTGGAGTGCTTGTAGGTTTGCATTCCAAGAGACCTGCTTCTTCTAGTAAATCTAGCACATATTTTTTTTGGGACAACAACATGCCATGTTTTTGATATGCAACTTCAATCCCAAGAAAATACTTTGGCTTTCCCATATCCTTAGTGATAAAATGACGGTTTAGATACTCATTAGTCTCAGTTAAGGCAATAGAGTCACTCCTAGTCAGCAGAATATCATCAACATATACGGCTAAAATAACCAAACCAGTTGTGCGTCGAAGAAAGACAGAGTGATCAGACTGACAACGTTAGAAACCAACATTAGAAATA